TGGAATATTATGTAAACACATAATATAGTTAAGAATCTAATCTGATGTTTTAAAAAATAGGCCATTTTCCATGTTTTGAGGATATTTGAATAAACACTCTAAATTAATGCAATCAGTTATGCTGAAGTAAAGTGTTAGAAAATGCTGAAATTATGATAAAGTTGAAAAGATTAAAATGATTACTTCCAAAACATAGCATGGCTTCAGCGTCAAAGAAGAATTAATTCATGGTCAAAGAATTAATGTTAATTACATTAATTTGTGGTATGCTATTATTTTTCAACTATATTATTTTTCAGCCTAATTTAGCCCTTATTTGGATCTTACTTTAGTCTTTATGTAAATGCCATATAAAGTTGAACTGTCCAATGCAGTAGCTACTAGTCACATGTGGCTGTTTTGAAGTGTGTCTAGTCTGGATTGAGCTGTGCTATAAATGTAAAATAACTTACACAGCCGATTTTGAAAACTTGGTCCAAAAAATTGTAAATTCATTAATAATGTTTTATATTGATTGCATGTTTGATAATATTATGGTATATATTGGGTTAAATAGAACATATTGTTAAACACGTAAGTGGTTCTCATTTGTGGTACTTCCTGTATTTTTATTGGTCAGTACCAGTGCACACTACAGAATTAAAGCAGTTATGCCCTTAAAACCCTTAATGCCCATATAGTACAGATTTGCACACTTGGCTTCTCTGATAGTTATCAGTTTTCCAATTTACTCCTCTTGGGACAGTTTAGAATTTAGCTATTGAATATTTGTGCTATACATTCAGTACTAGATTTGAGTTTTTTACCACACATCAAAACAAAAACAGTTCTAATTTTCAGTTTTTAAATGTATGATCTTTAACACCACAGAACTATAAATCATACCTTTGGCCAGTATCATGAGGCCAACAGGGCTCTAAGGGAGGAGGAACCTTATTTGTTTCAGTTAGCTGGTTAGTTAGCAGAATTACATGACTGTGTATTTGTTCATTTCTTCACAGAAACAAGTTGTTCCCTGAGTCGGTCATCAGAAATATTATGTATCAAATATTGCAAGGGCTGGCATTTATTCATAAACATGGTAGGTTTCTTTCATGTTTTCTTTCCCTGCGTCTTTAGATTATTGTCAAGGTCACGTAGAGGAATTGTATATAAACTGTTAAATAATGTTATATTATTAACTACAAATTTGGAGTATGTCCCTACATACACTGACATTTTTGTTTTTGAAATTTAGAATTTCTGTCTTTCTATATAAAATAAAATTTCTATAATCTATAACTATGTTCCTCTATAGTGGGATTTTTTAACAGTTTGATCATCAGCCTTAGTGTCAATCATCGTAAACCCATCCTGCAACCAAATTCCTTCTAATTTTTCTAATGNGTATGTAGAAGGGAGGTGATTTGCTTTTAAGGAGGTGGGAAGAGAGATATCATAGCTTGCCCAAAGCGAACTAATAATAGAGTAAGAAAGCCAATGGTGTAATTTGTGTTTTCAACTCCTCAGTTCCCTGTACACTAAACTTATCATTTTGAATTTCAGGATGAAGAGAAAGTTCTATTCTTGGGATGAGTGTCTGAACTTGAGAGAAGTTAAGGTAAAATTTTAGAGTTGAAAAGAACTGGAGAAAGCCTTAACTCTACCCCACTTCTATCATTTCTGAGGATGGTAGCTAAGGAGATTATTCTTTTGTCTGTGGGAAGCAGTCCAAAGATAATTATTTCCTATGTTTTTCCTTTATGTTCCTAAAATAATTTCTCATGTCAGTAGAGAACAGAAAATAATCATACCTTCATATTTGAAAATACACTCTCACTTTTAAAAGATCATTTTAATTTATATTATCAAAGGAAAGACAACTTTTTGAATTACTACATACCATTTCTTTATATTTTATGCTGTGTGACTTGGATAAAATTTTGGAGACTTTTGCATGGCATTTTGCATGGTTACATCAGAAAAAAGTTGGACCTATTTAACAGACTAAGAAAAAAAGTGACTGAAATGTTTGGTAGCTATTGTTGACTTGGCTTATTTTTGTACTTACATTCATTACTTAAAACAATTACTGCTTACTTTAAATAGGTGTTCTAAGATGTTTTTAGACATGTAAAATATTATAGATATTAAAACTGAATTCATTAATGAATTCAGAACCAATGGAAAATTACTTAAAGGTAATAATTACCTAGCATTGATGAGATTTTGCCAACTTCTATAGCTTTTCTGGAAGAATTTTAATTCTTATTTGCTGTGTTGCAGTC